TTCACAATAAAAAAATGTTGTATTACTTTTTGTATGTAAACCAGAACCAAACGAAAACCAGTAAATGAAATTCCGTTGCTTAAAAACATGGCTGCAGCTACTCCATCTCGTTTATATTTTTATATTTATAAAATGTTTGATCGAACATTTTCGTCGCTTTTGAAACCAAGTACCTATATTCAATAGTTATGAAAGACATCATTGTAGCGTTACTAATACAAATGACAACATAATACATATTTAAAAACAAAACGACTGAAAGCTAAAATCAAATCGGATAATCTGTTTCAAAATATTAAAGGGTATAAAGCTATATCTTCTTAGATATATTTTATAACATTTATCAACAGTAAAATTATATTTCTTCCATACTCTTATGGTCAATTCTTGAAAGAGTTTTAACAAAGAAATGTCCACGTCATTTAATACATATGAATATTGTACGTAAACAAATTAAAATGTTTGAAACAAAAATATAATTCTGCTTCTTAAGGTAGGGTTTTATCAGTTAAGTAATGATTTGTGCATGCGCTATTCAATGTTAAGGCAATTTACTACCATATTTATTCCATATAAGCATTTTGGAAGTTTTTAAAAGTTAAAACAAAAACCTTTTCGACAGATATACATACTAATGTTACAAACCAAATTTAACATTTCTTTCTGTAAAGTATATCAGCATTAGACCAATAATTGCTTCACTAAACTTGATTTAAAAGAGTGCTTTGTTCCACAAGGTTTTAAATTAAATTCATTTATTTTGATTGATATATGCTCTTGATTTGAGGTTTTATAGATCTAAAATATATAAACGGATACATTTTTAAATGAATTATATTTTGATTATATCGTGGAAATTTTGCTTTTAAATTTATGGCCACATGCGTTGTACTGAAACCTGCAGTCCTCTTGTATTGTTTGTTTTGTGTTAAAACTATTTTATTGAATTTTGGATATAAACATTGAAACTTGTTACAGGGTACTTGAAAAAAACAGCACGTATTTATTGACATCAAAAAGCTTTTTTTTAAATGAAATGGCATAATCTGCTACCAGAATAGTACTAATTAAACTAAACACATTGTTCTTTCATTGTTTTTATAAATCAACCAATCGACATTTTATATCACCATACACGTATTTGCTAAAAGCCAGTTTGTGAACGTCAGTGTTAACTATGGTATCATAAAACGCTTATAAATTTTCAAAGAGTAAAAATATAAAATGCTTAGTGAAAATTTAGATTACATGTCATTAATTAAATGCATTTTTTATATTTATTAAATGCATTAAATTACACTTCATTAATTTTAATAGCGTTGATAAAGTCCAGAGCAAGAAAACAATGACATAAAGAATTTTTAAAAGTGTACTTTTAGTTGATTACTTTTTCCTTTTTCATTTTTTATACGACAAGCCTACGATACATCATTGCTCGTGCATGGATATGATGCGTCTGTTAATTTGTTATGTTTACCACGAACATAATCTGTTTGTCCACAAATAAAACAAAACAACAATTTAAAACGTTAAACGTCAGCGGAAGCTGTTTCCATAGTTTACAAGATATTCACCAAGTCTGAATATTCATTTGATTCCCTCGTTTAAAAAAATGCTAAAAGATTATCAATGGTACCCCTAATCTGATACATTTGAATTGTTAATGTTAAATGTTGAAAAGCGTTATTGGTGATAAACTTACTGTTGCAGGGTATTTCAGTTGACAAATATTCATATGAAACGCCTTTACGGTCTGCATTTATCCACTTGCCAGTAAGAACATGAAATGATATTTTTTTCCCAATTTTATTTGTTTCTGTAAAAAACATTAGTTTTCTGGGACAATTATCTTAATAAATATAATTTACTCAGTCATCAGCTATTGTGTAATTATGTGATAAATGAGTGAGACCTTGTTTTAATGGTAGCAGTTATAACGCAATGTGAAATAATGTCCAATAAATTTCATACAACATCCACTTTCCATTTACGACTAAATGCTTAAATGTTTAATCGGTTTAATACTTTAAATATTGACTATTATTATTTTATTTATCGTTTGTTAATAGCACTTCGGAAAGATTGGTTATATAGAAAATACAAAGTTGATGTCGGGATGGAGAAGGTTAATCCGGTGAAAGAGAAAGTGTATCTTGGCGATTCTTCTTTACCCGCCTTCTGTGCTTTGATTTGTTTCATTTTTACAGTCTGAAAAATACATTCCTTCCACATGCAGAACTGCTCTTGGGCATATTTAAGTATCCTACGAGCAATTACTGCCGTATGCTTTATGAAAACTTGAAAAGCAATGACAACCATCAGCCCGAAGAATAAGTAAACAACCCAGCCTTCGTAAGTCAGGCTTTCAACAATTCCAAGTTACCAAATTCCTAGCCATTTTTTGAATGTTTACAAATCTGTCAACACTTATAAATTGTCTGTTACAATCCTCAAATAAATTTTCTTTCTTTTATGACTAACAAATCCAAATGATATCCCTCTGAATCAAACACAATTATTTTCCTCCCGTGAAATACACAACTTTTAAAAATGGCGGCCGCTTACATTTAACAGAGCCAGGTCTAATATAAATTCGCAGTAAGTAACAGAAATATGGATGGATGGCTGGACTTTTTCTCCTACTACAATTGTTTGCTTTTATTATTAAAACAAGCGATCATTCATTTTTTTTAATAAAATCAATAATATCACCGAAATTTAAAGTTGATTATCGAACTTATTTTTCAGTCCAAGACTTCTTGTATTTTATGAGAAATTCGACTAATACAGTACTAGTACATAATGTACTAGTACATAATAGAGGCTACCAGTGGGGAAAACAGATTTTAATATAAAAGTTGATATCAAGGAAATTTCGTTTTAACTTGTGTTTAAGCATAAAATAAAAAGAAAATTTGTTTGATGTGATTTTATTTCATGTCGTGAACTTTGAAAACAGTATTCTCACTCGTGGCTACGCCACTCGTGAGGATACTGTTTTTAAAGCTCACTCGCTGAAATAAAATTTCATCTTACACACAAACAAACAAATATCCTCTATATAAAGCAGTTAGCATTAATTACTATATTTGCTTTCGTAAGTTAATTCATCATTTGCATCTTCTTATTAATAATTCGATCGTTTTACTCTGAAATGATTAAAAACACTTATGTCACGAGAGTGAAGGTGATCCTTGATGATCAAAAGCGGCATAATTGAAAATGTGATGGAGCCTGCAAGCTACCGTCTACGATTCCGAACACTGGCTTACGCAGAATTCATCATTTTAACATGAGAATGGTGAAATTTTGAATAGATGTGTTCATGACTTAAAAATGTATAGGTAAAACAAGTACCGTAAAGATATTTTTGCAATAAAGCTACAACGAAGCGTTTACCCAGAGTTAATTAATATCCGTTTAAAAGATATATTACAAGTCAACTAATTATTGAAACCTCCTTTGCGGTATTCATGAGATAAAACAATAATGAGAAGTTGTTTTGGTACATGTACACATTTTATTTAAAGGTAGTTATACGTATGTTATATATATATAAAACTACAGAATTCGACAGATGAAATGTAGAACTATTCATACATAAATAGCTTACCTTTTATAAAAAAACATGGATGTTTTTCGAAATAATTTCTGAAAGTCAATATGACCGGGTCAAGGCTCTCGTTTTAATGCTATAAGTTTAAGAGTACAATGTCCTAAGACTAGTTTAAATATAAGGCCCAATTTAGTTATCGATACCTCTACAAGCACATAAAATTAAATGAGTATATCGGTATATAAAGGATAGAATAGACTTCCGATTTAATGTTTTACGTATGTGTGACATTTTATGTAATTTGTGTCGATATTGTAAACAATAAAACCACTCAGCTGGACATATTTGCACTAGTTTCTGTAAATAAAACTCCAAAGTACATGTATAGAGACTGTAAACTGCATCAAATAAAGCAAAACCTAATGCAGTTACAAACCGCGGTCGCTAGAAAACAATGTATGTTTTTTTTTGTTTGTTGTTTTTTTTTTTGTTCCTGTTTTGCATAGTAATAAACGTTAATGTACTTACATAAAATGCAATATGTTAGTTGGAAATCAAATACCTATCACAAGTGAAAAATAATTTGTAGATGGAAATGACAGTCAAGATGAAATTAACCTCCGAAAATACTGAAGACAATTTCAACGCCAGAAAACCATCACAATATTTATTAAAATTAACGAATATATGTTATAATTTAAGATCCCAATAAAATAATGTTTTAAACAGCAAACTGTTTTCGTAACGTACAGCCTGCGAGTGGGTCACATGATCGTAAAGATGAAGTGATGTTCGTTCATTTAATAATACAATTGATAAAAAATTAACAAAGCATCTGACATAGAAATTTGAGCCGCGTCACGACAAAACCAACATAATGGGTTTGCGACCAGCAAGGATCCAGACCAGCCTGCGCATCCGCGCAGTCTGATCAGGATCCATGCTGTTCGCTATCAGTTTCTCTACTTGTTATAGGGTTTGTAAGCGAACCCATTATGTTGGTTTTGTCATGACGCGGCTCATTTATAGGATTCAAGACCACGGCGCTCCACCTCATGTTCCTTAACTATGCACGGCACCAACCAGGCATTCACTTTTAACTATAAATGCGATTATATAAAGGACACATATTCTTATTAACGGCGCATTTAAAATACAGTTATGAGGCTCACTTCAGCCTGCTTTAGAAATTAAAAAGTTTCTGTAGACTCTTTGCCTAAATTCAAACAAAGCCTTATGTTCAGGCAAATTAATGTTCGTTGCACATTACAGTTATTACATTGTTACTAAAATCTAACAATGAATTAAGAGAAATCATGGAAAATCTACGAGTATCTGGATCAACCCACCTAGCAGGAAAATCCAATACAGCTATGCTCAAATACGGTATGTGATTCAATAAATAATCATTTATACCTGACGTTTTTAACATTATTTTGTATCATGGACACAGCATTATAAGCTTTCCTTACGTGTAAAGCTTTAATTTTAGAAATACAATCTTGTTTTTGTATGCAAAAAGGTTTAAAGGATATTGTTATACTTTCTAAGAGATCATCTCGACTTACTGTAAGTTAACAAAAAACACACTTTTAATAATTTTCATCATGAAACATCCATTTGATATTGAATGAATTTGAAACTGAAACAAATTTATTGCAAAGAAATGAATATTTGTAGTTGTAGAAAGAAAGGAATATTCATGCTGAAAGAAGTTTTGTATTATTCAAATTACAAACTATTTAAATTGGGTTATCATAAGAGTTATTTTTAGCTGACATTAATTAAAACATCATTTTACTGATAATAGTGTTTTGTAAGTCATACGTATTGTCTTGGTTTAGTTTATATACTTTAAAAAAAACATGCATGATTATTTATATACAATTAAGGTTCATTATAATAGTTTATATGCTTCATTTGTGGACGGGAAATATTTGTATATTAGGTGTGCTTAGCTATTCACAATATTGTTAGGGTCCTGGAAAGATTAAACTTATCATGTCAGTGTATTGTAACGTAGATATTTTTAGATATTGTTTTGTTATGGCTCAAATAAAATCACTAGGAATACAATACGTATATACGCAAACAAAACATTAAATCAATCGACAATGTTTTAATAACATCATTTAGTACGTCATTATATTCCCGTTAATGATGCGTCAAAATTAGTGAAAACAAACACATGAATCAATTAAAATTAGGAACACTCGGACATTTAGACAATAAGACCATTCATTAGTTTGCATGTATGAACATGAATGATATAATATTTATACAGCCAAAGTCAATCTTAAGAATGATTTCATTTACACAGTAATCAACTATCAAAATATTTTTTGCAAAATTCACCCATCATGTGAATCAAACATTTTTATGGCTTAATATTGATATTCGACACAGTATTTAGTAAATGTACTTTTGTCCAATGTTCTGTCAATTTGCGTGAGCTCCAGAAATATTTATGCAATGCATTTTCTTACTTCCTTATGGTCGTCTGATTGTTGCTTCGTTGTTTGATTATTTGTTTACTTTTGAGTATGTTTCTCTTTTACACATTTTTAATACAATTAAAAATGTTTGCGTTCATTTTCTGTCCGGTACGTACGCCCTCGATAGATTTACGTAGTCACGCAAAAACTATTATGTGGCCACGCGATATGAATCCGGAGTTATTTACGAAATGTTCTAAGCTTAAACTCAGATCGCAGTATTTGATTGGTCAGAAACTGCCACAGAATGTTCACTGACCAATGAAAATCAGGAGTTTGAGACAAAATTCAGATGTATTACGTGCGCACGCAAAAGGTGTCAATACAAACGCATGTCTATATAAAATATATCCTGTGGCCACGTAATTACTTTCACATGCGTACGCATTAGCTATTCACACGTGCTAACACTCACGGGACCAAGATGAATATGTAGGGCATACGCACGTTATAAATAAAAAAATTCTAAGTACTATTTGGAAATTGCAAAGGTCATAAATTAAGTGTGAAAACTTATCAAAGAATTGGACTAAAGAGTGTACTATTTAAAGTCATGCCGAAAGATAACAAGAAGGGGTCATATCTTTTGTGTAAACCGAATCATATTTCCTACAATAGAATAGTCAAACAGAGGCGTGCGTAACGAAACGAATTCAAACATGGACAGTTGAAATAGATAAAAAAAAAAGGTATAATAAAAGGATATAAATGACTTTCAATATAATTTTTTTTTTTGCGTATTTGTGGCATTTCGCATAATTTGTGTCGATATTGAAAACAATCGAACCACTTAGCTAATCACATCTGTTATAAGTAACGAATGTACTGCAAACGAAATTGCATTTATCGACATTATGAAATGTCACTATCAGAAGCAAATCTGAATGTACATAAAAAGCCCTGATTTATAGACAAACAGTTTATTTGTTTAGTATGGTTGAACTGACGTACTATACGTAGAAACAATACGCTACATTAGTTGCAAATCAGCAAATATAAGATGAGTTTCCGTTGATCAAGATAGCAACGTCATTGAGGTGACCTTAGAGGTTATTTAAACTAATAAATTCAACACCGTAAAATAATATTGAACATTATATATTATACTGTACGAATACCTATAATCACAGAATAATGTATTCAAGTATAATCATTTCATAAACAAAAGATATCTTGATATGAATAGCAGCGAAAGAAATCAACACGACTTGACTTCAATACGTTATGTGATTTCATGTTTAGATATTTGTACATCAAAAGTGTCGTGTTTATTGAGGACACAAGAACTTTAATTTCTGAAATACGATAATTGAAAGGTCAGAGGATGTTGTTTTGCCTTCTAAGAAATCAGCCCGATTTAATGTAAGTACAAATGTCTTTTATCTCTTTGGTAATGAAATAATGAATTTGGTCCATGTTAATTTAATTAGGAAATACTACATCTCATTGCAACATAATGAACATTTGTATGATGGTATCATTAATGCGAAAATGATTGAAATACCATTTAGAAGATTGTTTTAGATAAATTTAGAATATTGGAAAGCTTTTTAATTTAGAAACAATAATATCACGACCGAAAGCAAATGTTTATTTGCTAAATCACATGTTGTCTTAAGGTACAACCTTACGTGCACAATAAGGATCTAAAAATTTGACAACATAAGTCAGATATATATTCCTTAAAGGACACCTGTATGCAAAATGTAAACAAACTTTACCGTACGGAGTTTGAAATTAAATCGGCCTTTTTTTCAGAAATAAAGAACCTTTAAATAATTAATAATATCATTCTTATGAAAAATGTTTTCCCATTAATTTTTGGTAAGAAACAAAATGTAACTTTCATCTAACAATCCACATAAGTGAAATTATTGTTTCCACTCAACATTTATGAAATATGTATAGAAATGATACACTTCACCAACTATTTTTTTAACACGTGTTTGACCAATTTCCTACTCAGAGAGCCTAATAAAAAATCCTTAAAATTTACTCAAATGAGTGCCTGTTTTCAAAGTTTCCCTAAACTTTCCCAAAAGTATGTTCCTTTTTCTTGTAAAATATCAAATACTTTTGCCGTCTAGTTTTGATTTGATTGCACTTTGAAAATATATGGTACCATATTTGTTATAAGATTAAGCATAATTTAGCCAATTTAACCTATATTAATTAAATAATTAAGGTTAAACACTTTTTTCTTCCCAAAAGGGAATATATAATGTTAAAAGAAATAATGAAAAAAGTTGACTCTTCTTGGGTTTGAACACACGGCCCAAAATTTCAATGTATTTTACATATTTTACAATTTAAATTAATAACCATTCATTCCGTTTAAAAGGATTGCGAAAGTTATTTCCAGTTGTCATTTTATTAAAACACATATTTACTGATAAAAGTACTTTTGAATGAAAGTCATACTTACTATCTTCGCTTAGCTTCTTCCCTTTTAAAAATTTGAATATGTTTTTAGTATGGATTTGATTAACAAAAATGTCTATTTCATAGCTTTTCACGAAATTCCGAGAATTTACAATTTTGAATATGTTGTACTGTATGTTTATTGGCATTGTTTTGTAATTTATCTTATAAAGTACATTAAAGCGCACATCATTTTCAAACCAAACATGAAGAGAACCAAAAATATTTAGAGATGCTCATGAGTTAAGTCATAACCATAGACATTATTAATAAACAAAAATGTTTGATATGTTGCCAAGGTATCGTCTACATCATCTATTCCTGTTTACATAGGGGTGCCTAAAAAGCCAGAAAAATACACATACAACTGTTTAGACTCGGAAAAATAGACATTTGACAACAAGTTAGTTAGTGCTAAATATTTTATGTTGATGTTTCATTTGAAACCGCTGTATCCTAGAAACTATATTTGTTTCAAATGTGCTTTCGTCAAAATTTAGATTACATAACTAAACCCAATTAATTGTTGGTTGAACGTAATGACATTTAATAAATTTAAATATGCATTGGTCTCTCATTATTTGTAAACATGTGTCAAGTAAGGAAGCAAATTTGGTGTGGACGTTTTTTAACATCATTTTTATCTTTTCCTTTCAAATTTCTTATTCTTACATAAATCAGGATATAACGATAACATTCACAAAAATAACAACATGCTTTATTATTTACTGATTTTACCGTCAAACAAATAAGTTAATATGCATTTTTACACTAACACTATTTTGACGCAATTATTTTATATGACCAGTTTTAGACTGGCGGTGTTTATTTTTATTTCAAAAGGATCACACCAGGATATAAATTTATTTGCTAATTACTTTCCAAATTTTTATAATAACGTAAAATAAAAATATGCAATTCCTAAGGCAAGCCAAAAACAACAAACTTATTGCTGAGCCCGATTTATTTAGCCTGTTTATGAACAGTGGTACATTTAAGCCCTTTTCTTATGCATCCTACTACGGCTTAAGCGGTACATGACATTGTATTGTTGTACACTTGTAGCATACTCTCACTTTTATTTACGACTTCGAACGAAAGGGTGAGAACATTTAACAATTAAGATCAAATTAAGGCAACACCGTTATGACTACTCCGTTTGAATGTTCTTAAATATATTGTGTTTCTAAAATTGCATTGCATGTTCTTTTGCTACATTATAGTGAAAACTATCCATTAAAATACTATTCAGTTATTCAAGTTTCTTTGAACTGTAACATGGTATTTCATTGTATGGCATTAAATACAGCTCATATGATAAAATAAAACAAGTGTTGTTGCTTTTTTAAGAATGGAAAGACTCATTATCTTATAATATCAATACGGAAGGACAATTGTTAATCTGGCTTTGAAAGTCGTGGAACGCATTGCTTCTAAAAGGTTTGTCTTTATATCAGAATGACTAGTACAATATTCTTAGACATTCATATGTGATAAATTAAATAAAAACTATTATAGAAAAAAGCATTATTTAAATTTGCCACTCTGCGCCAGTCAAGTCTTTGTGATAAAACAATGAACATCAAATGAATACTTTATACATAACCGAACAAAAATATACATTTTACATGAAATCATTACAAATTCATTTTG